GAAAAATGAATTTGACTCTGAGATTCCTCAAGATCCCACACAGGAAGATGCATACACAGAACAAGTGGATTACTCAGCAAGTCAAGATTTTGTTGAATCTCTTGGTACCAAACCGGGTTCACAAGAAAGAAGATGGGAGAAAGACAAGGACAAGGATGGCCCTACTAGAAGAAGTGATAGAAACCTGGATAAGAAGGATGTCAAAATTGAAGACTTGGCCAAGGAAAGGGCTGCTGAAAAAGATAACTATGGTGAGAACACTAACTCTTTCAATGATAAAATTTCTTTATTTGAAATGACTAGCAAGGTCGGGATTGATTTGGGGTGTGCCATAGATATGGTTAATCAAAATCTAGACCTAATCTCCAATATGGAGCAGGCTAGAAGAGATATATATCTCCAAATCATAATTAATAAAGAAAAGGATGAGGAAAAAATGCTCTTCAAATCTTATAGATATTGGAGATGCAGAGTTAGAGGAACTATTATGTTCAGAAAGAGACCACTCTCATGTTGATACAGAGTTGGACTATTATGACAATTTGAATAAAATATTTTCAAGCAATAGAAAAATGAGAGGTGGAAATACGGCCACTAGTGCTGGAAAAAAATCCATCTCGATTTGGGGTATTAAGAACAAAAAGAGAAAAAAGAAAAAAAGATGAGAGACCTCTTCTGGAATATGAGGGGGATAGGGTAGGATATTAAAAAAATTTATTAGAGATACTATCTTAGAAAAACAACTAGATTTTGTGGGGTTGCAGGAGACTATCAAGAGTGACTTTACTAAAAATGAATTACACAACCTCTTTGGAGGGAGAAAATTTCTCTAGGAGTTGATTGCCCCTAGAGGCAAGTGTGGAGGAATTTTGGTAGGTATTAATAGTGACTGCTTTGAGCTACTCCAGGTGGAAAAGGGGGTATACTTTGTCAAACTACTCTTATTTGACAAAGTTGCTAAATTCAGCTGGAACCTAATCATTGTCTATGGTGTTGCTCAAAAAGATGGGAAAGCAACTTTTTTAGTTGAACTCTCCAGGTTTTACCAAGACAATCCTCAGCCTTGTGTGATTGGGGGTGATTTCAAGTTGATTAGAAATAGTGCAGAGAAAAATAAACCTGGGGGTTGGATCACTTTAGTTTTGTCTTTAATGCTATTATTGGACATGCTGGTCTTAGGGATCTTCCAATGAATGGGAGAAAATATACCTGGGCAAATAATCTTCCTGGCCCTACTTATGAAAGATTGGACAGAATATTTATCTGTCCAGACTGGGAAGATAAATATCCTCTAGCCATGGTTAATGCCATGGAAAGGGAGATCTCTGACCATACCCCTTTCCTTCTAGATACTGGAGATCATAAAAAATAGCCTATTTTCAGATTTGAAAATGCATGGATGCTCATGGAGGGGTTTAGGGATTTTGTTGAGAAAAATTGGAATATCAGGTGTGGCGGGTCTAGTTTGGATGTCTGACAAAAAAACTAAGAAATATAAGACAAAAAATCAAGGGTTGGATTATTAATGCCAATGTTGCCTACAGGAAAAGGAAAAAAGATCCTCGGAATACTAGATGAGATAGATAAAAATGTTGAAGCCTAAGTGCCCAAGACAGAGAAATACAAAGAGCTTTGAGAAAAAAGCTTAAAGATATTCTTAAAATGGATGCTATCAAGTGGCTGCAGAGATATAGAGACAAAGAAATTAAAGATGGTGACTCCAATACTAGATACTACCATGCCAAAGTTAATGGGAGGAGGAGAAAAAATAGAATCACTTCTCTCGAACATGATGGGGAAAACATTGAAGGTGATGTTAAGCTCATGGAGCATATCACTGATTATTATAAAAAGCTGTTTGGACAAGCTGAAAATACTACTATAAATCTTGATATCCAAAACCCTGAAGGGATTTCCTCTCAAGAAGAAGAGGACTTGACCAAAACCTTTTGCATGGATGAGATCAAAAAAGTAGTCTTTGATATGGAGAAAAACATAAGCCCAGGACCTGATGATTTGCCATTGACTTCTGCCAACATTTTTAGGAGATGCTCAAAACTGATCTGAAAGCCATCCTGGATGTTTTTCATTGTGGGAAAATTGATTTAGCTAGATTGAACTATGGGATTATCACTCTAGTCCCTAAATCTAATGATGCTAAACAAATTCAAAAATTTAGACTTATTTGTCTGTTGAATGTTAGTTTCAAAATTATTACCAAAGTTCTGATGAATAGATTGAGTAAAGTAGTTAATCCTATTATTTCCCCCCATACAAACTGCTTTTGTGAAAGGTAGATATAGAATGTAGGGTGTGGTGATTTTACATGAAGCTCTGAACTCCATACATAAGAAAACACAGAGTGATATGCTGTTCAAAGTTGATTTTGAAAAAGCATATGACGAAATTAGATGGCCCTTTGTCCATAAGATGTTAACACTTAAGAAATTCCCTGATAAATGGTGTGACTGATTAAGCACACCATGAGAGGGGGTTAGGTGGGAGTTAAGGTCAATGATAACATTGGTCCTTACTTTAAAACCTTCAAAGGGCTCAGACAAGGGGGTGCTCTGTCCCCCCTGCTTTTTGATCTAGCAGTTGATGCTCTAGCTATCATTTTAGATAAAGCTAGAACTGAGGGTTTTATTAAAGGGGTACTCACTGATTATCATGAAAATGGAGTGAACATGTTACAATATGCTGATGATACTATTTTCTTGATACAAGATGATGAAAATTCTGCTAGAAATCTGAAATTTATCTTAGCAGCCTTTGAGCAAATGTTAGGACTTACAATTAACTTTCACAAGAGTGAGATTTATCTTTTCGGGAAGCTAAAGCTAAAAAAGATCTCTACCAGGAAATTTTCACATGTATCCTTGGGGAAACCCCACTGAAATATCTTGGCCTACCTGTTTCCAATAAAAGAATTAGTAATAGCATGTGAAAGAATGTTACTAAAAAAATTCAAAAAAGATGTGCCTGTTGGCAAGGTAGATTGCTAAATATTGTAGGAAGAGTAACTTTGGTGTAGTCTTGTCTCTCTAATATACCTATCTACATGATGTCCTTTTATCTCCTTCCTGCTAGGGTTAGGAAGAAGATGGATTTCTATAGAGCTAGAATGGTGTGGCAGGCTGAAGAAGACAAGAAAAAATACCATCTGGTAAACTGGAAATTCAGCTGTCTTCCAAAAGAGGAGGGAGATTGGGGGTTTACAAACCTGGAGATGTTTAATATTGCTTTGTTATCTAAGTGGTTGTGGAAATTAGAAAATGAAAATGGTTTCTGGCAAGGGATCATTAAAGAAAATTATGTTAAAAACAAATGTCTTTTTTGGGATTGAACATAGAAATGGGGATTCTCAATTCTGGACTAACATTCGTAAAGTCAAAAAATACTTTTATCCTCATGTTAAGAAAAAAACTGGGAGATCAGAGAAACACTAGATTTTGGGAAGACTGGTGGGTGGGAGACAAACCACTCAAGGATGCTTACCCTTCTCTGTTCTTTATCAGTTATGAACATGGGATTTCTGTCAGGGGGGGCATTGATAAAGGATGGGATGGTTTTACATTCAGGAGATCTTTGTTTGGAGAAACTGAACAACTTTGGGCTAGCTTGAAAGTGAGATGTAAAGAAGTTTTGATGTATGGAGGTGATGATAAACCCATGTGGATGCTGACTGCTGACAGAAAATTCTCTGTCAAATCACTATATAGATTCTTGATCAAGACTGATGTTGGTTTTCCCAGGAAATTTTTGTGGAAAACTAAAGTCCCTGCCAAGATCAAGTTCTTTTTGTGGCTACTTGCTAGAAAAAGTATCCTTACTACAGATAATCTGTTGGGGAGAGGATGAAAGGGTGATAAACATTGTGTATTGTGTGGTAAAAATGAAACAGTTGATCATTTTTTTTCATGCTCTGTAGCCAGACTAATCTGGACGTTAGTCAAGTGTGCTTTTGATCTAAAACATATCCCTAGAGATCTAAATGACTGCCTTGGAAATTGGCTAAAGAATTTCACATCTGATAATAAGAAACTGATTCTGGTTGGTACCTCTGCTCTCTTGTGGGTAATATGGAAATGTAGAAATGATATTGTCTTTGACAGGAAAAAAGTTACTGACCCAATGGGAATAGTGAAAGTAATGTGTGGTTGGATTTTTGATTGGGCTATTTTGCAAAAGGACCCAGAGGAAAAATCGCTGATGCTGGGAGCAAAACTCATCGAACAAGTAGCAAGTGAAGTGTACAAGGCGGCGCAAGGCTGGCGTTTTGGCGTGCTTCGACTTCAGGATTGAAAAACGAGCATCTCTTTTGGGGCTGATAGATGGGGGGATGGCTTGGCGTGCTGCTTTCCTGGCAACCTGATGAATAGCTTAGTCTGCTTAGATGCCTGGTGATAGGCAGTGTTATCTTTCCCTGCTTTCTCTCGATGTAATATTGGTAATGTAATAGAATCTATAACGCTGTGACTGCTCAGATGCTCGTTGGTTTCTCTAATGGAAATCGGAGGGGAAACCCTCTTTTGCTTAAAAAAATAATAATGTTGCTCACGCTGAGTCGTCGAGGAAAGAAATGGATGATTCGGTGTCACTCACTCCACTCAGTATTAACAACGTTTCAGTAATATGAAGTTATCACTGTCCTAGACAGATATCATTCTAATATATACTCGTATATAACAAACGAGTACAAAGGAGTAGAAATAATCTCTGATATCAACGACAAAGGACACACATTGCGTACGAACGCAAGGGATCAGGATTGGTCATATCTTACACAAGTTCAGAGAGAGTTCAAATGATCTAAAACAAAAGCTCTGCCTAGCATAGAAAACTTGGATTGAACTGGTGTAGATCATTTGAACTCTCTCTGAACTTGTGTAAACAGATCATTGTTCAAAGATCTGATGGCACCACTGGTGTAGCATAATCCACACTTTTTCTGAACTCTGAAGGATCCTAACCCCCCAGCAGCAAACGAACAAACACTTTTATGTGCAAAATGAGTCATCGCCATCTGATTCCAGCTTCCACCATGGCTTTCCGTTTGCACTTCCCGCCAGCTCTTCTGAACCATCTTCATCGCCGTCCTCCTCAAACACCACTTCTTCCTCCTCGTCATCTTCATACCTCCACTCCAGCCCCTTAAGCACGTCCCTGTCCCGCCATTTCCCGGACATGGACGGCGCTGCCTTCCTGGCCTTTCCAGCGATCACCTCTGCCCAGGTGAAGCCCGTGTCTGCCCACCTTGCCAGCCCTGACTCGCCGCCGACCACCACCGTCCGCACGCCCTTCTCCTTCGCCAGTCGCAGCAGAGGGGAGAGCTCCTCCCGCCCCGAGACCAGCATCAGGCACCCCACGGACCCATCGTCGAGCACCTCTTGGGCGCGATCCCGGAGGGCGGTCGACGGGTATCTGGAGAGCTCGGCGTGGACTCTGGCTCGGCGGAGCTCGTCGGCGGGAGAGCCGGGGTTCACGCCGGCGGTGAGCTCGCGGGCGGCCTTGGTGTACTTGGAGAGCTTGAGAGACAGGGACGCGGCGAGGCGCACGCGGCGGTCGCCGCGGGAGGACTCGATTCGCTCGAGGCGCTTGGTGTTCTCTCGGGTGTGGATGGTGTCGAAGTGGCGGAGCAGCGCGTCGCGGGCGCGGAATTTGCGGCCGCAGACGCGGCAGAGATTGGTGGCGTCGGCGGAGGGATCAGGGTCGGGTAGCCGGTGGCAGGGGTGGAGGAACGCGGCGGAGAAACGGAGGCGGCCGAAGGAGGAGGCGGCGAGGTGGAGGCGGACGGCAGAGTCGTAGAGGGGGAGTTTGGAGGGCGGGCGGGAGGCGGCGAGTTCCCAGAGGACGGCCACGGGGGTGGTAGGGGCGCGGGTTGCCGGGGTGGAGGTGGTGGTGGAGAGGCGGTGCGAGGGCGATGGGAGGAGTCGAAGGGTTGAGGCGAGGAGGCGTCGCCGGAGATTGTAGAGCGGCCGGGACATGGGAAAGGGAAATCACGCTGGGAGAAGGGAGCTTCAGCGGCGGCGCAGCAACTGCTTTTTTTTTTATCGGAATTAAGCAGAGAGGGCTTGGGAGCTGGGGGTCGGCCTCCGCCTCGCCCTGTGCTACAGCGATGGCAGGGCCCAGCCCGGTGTCGAGTAGACGCGCGAGGGGGATTGGATTTTTTTGCCCCCATTTTGCATTACATGGTTTTTTTTCTGATAAACTTCTGATCTATTCATCTTCGATCATGATAGTACAACAAACACTAAAAAAATATATAATTTTTTTAAGAATAATAGGAGGGCCAGCGCCTCCCCCGATTTCATTATGAATAACGAAACCAGAGTTCAGGTAACAACAGCTTGCAAAACGCAAGTTCAGTAAGCAAAAGTAAAAGAAGGTGCACATTATTACATTCCCAGACCAGCAAACTAAGCTATTACAGCCAGCAGCTAGACTCAGGCTGGGATCCCCAGGACGGCGCAATTGTCTTGCTTGTTTTCCTCCAGCGGTCGCGGGATCTTCATCTTGCACATTCCAGCGGGTGCAACTCCGGGGCGCCTGATCTTCTTTGCTGGCCAGGCAGGGGAACCCAGGAGGTCCAGCGGCGTCACAGGACTCAGCAACGTATGCTTGCAGGTGAAGCTGCCTGGGCTCCTGGACGGGGATGACTGCATAGCGTCAGAAGGCAGATTTGACATTACCCCCAAGTTCAGCTTGGTGAGAAGCACTTGACCGAAAACACCTTCAGTGTTTTTGTCAAGCTCAACTACCCTGTTGTGATCTGGAAGGGGGTGCTCAGGATCAGGATAACCCTGGTCATGAATCCCTCCATCTTCACGCGAGCATCGTCCTTGAGAAGAATCAGCCATCTCCTCAAGAGCCCCATCATCAAGTTCCAGATCTGTTTCAAATCAATCCACATTACATTTCTGAAAATGCAAGAGTTTCTATGCTTCCAGATAGCCCATAATACACTAGCACAGATAGCATTTAGAGCAGTGTGTTTCTTATTGGCTATCCAAAATCTAGCAATGGAAAGGTAATCAGCTCCCAAAGAGCAGGAGAAAAAGTCTGAAACGGATTCGCATATTTGCTTAGCAACCACACATTCAAAAAAGAGAAGCTGTATAGACTCTCTCTCAGAGCAGTAGACACATTCATGAGATTTTTCAAAGCCTCTTTTAGAGAGGTTGTCTCTGGTCATTAGCTTGATATGAGAAAGAAGCCACAAAAAAACTTGGACTCTAGGGGGGATTTTAATAGACCAAACTGAAGGAATGTGAATAGGTTGAACACCTCTGAAGTTAATTATACTATACAAGGACCCAGTTGTGTACTCCCCTTTGGATTCGTGTTGCCAAATCAAGGAGTCCTCACCTCCAAGGTATTTTGTACTAGTAATAATTTGCTCTAGGCAGTACCAACTCTCCATCATAGTAGGTGTAAAAATCCTTCTAAAGGTCAGCTTAATAGTGTTTTGGTCCCAGATCTTATCAAGAGTCTCACCATGCTGGTGGCAAATGACATAGAGGGGCCAAAACTGGACAAACAATGGTGAGGTACCAAACCAAATATCCTCCCAAAACCTGATCTTTTGCCCATTACCAACTACCCATCTATATCCAAATTTCAGGGCCTTGGCTGCCCACATGACCCCTTGCCAGAATCTGGACGAGCGCTGAGCATTACAAGCAAAGATGTTAGAGGAATTATGAAGGTATTTGGAATCTACCAGGGATCTCCACATTTTTTCCTCATCCTTGACATATCTCTTAACCCAGCTCCCCAGTAGGCAGAGGTTGACATCTCTAATGTTTGGCACTCCCAGACCCCCATGCTCTTTTTTCATACAAACCAAGTGTCAGTTGGCAAGATGTAATTTCCTTTTTCCTTCAAAATCACTCCAAAGGCAGTGGGCCAGCTGGCTGTTGATCAGGTCCAGGGCCCACTTAGAGAATTTAAAGAAGGATAGCAGATAGAGAGGTACACTAGCAAGGCAGGTTTTGATAAGTATAAGTCTGGCTGAATAGGAGAGTAATTTTCCTCTCCAACCAGCCATTTCTTGAGGATCTTGTCAATGAGAGGTTGGATATCCTCTCTCCTCAACTTATCATTGTGCATGGGGATTCCTAGGTATTTGATGGGGAAAGCACCCACAGTGCATCCCATGATATTTGAAAAAAGTACAGTCTCCTCAACTGTAAGACCTATTGGGATGATTTCACTCTTAGAGTAGTTAATTCTCATTCCAGAGACTTGTTCGAAGCAGGTTAAAACTTTCTTGAGATTCTCAGGTTTTCTCTCATCCTTTTCCATAAAAAGAATGGTGTCATCTGCATATTGCAGACAGACTACACCACTGGGAATCATATCAGAGCAAAGCCCTTGGATGAGATCATTTCTCACTGCTTTAGCAAGCATTTTACTAAGAACATCAACCACTAAGTTGAACAAAGGGGGGGAGATGGTATCCCCTTGTCTAAGCCCTTTGCCAGTGGTAAAAAAATTACCCTCTACACCATTTAGTTTAACTCCTACAGATCCTAGATGTGTGATCTGGTAAATCCATTTCATCCATCTAGGACCAAAATTCCTTTTCTCAAGGATCTCCATGAGAAAATCTAGATTTACTTTATCAAAAAGCCTTCTCATAATCTAATTTAAGCACCAAATCAGGGCTGCCTGAGTGATAAGTGGAGTGCAGCACCTCATGTGTTGTTACCACACTTTCTAGGATAAACCTATCTTTAATGAAGGCAGTTTGGTTGCTGGAAGTAAGCAGGTTCATAGGAACAGCTAATCTATTTGTGAGAACCTTAGTAAAGAGCTTAAAAATACAATTTAGTAAGCTAATAGGCCTAAATTTGTTCATAGTAGTAGCTTCCTTCTCTTTAGGAATAAGAGTGAGATAGCAAAGTTAAGCCTATAGATGTCCAAATCCCCATTATAAAAGTATGTGAACATGGCCATGATATCGGCTTTAATGGTATCCCAAAATTGTTGAAGGAAGAGGAAAGAATGTCCGTCTGGGCCACGGGCTCGATCAGGGTATGACCCAAATAAAGCTTATTTCACTTCCTCTTCAGAAAAAGGCTTCTGCAATTCTAAGTTATCAGAGTCTTTGATTTTTTTCATTATCAGAGAAGAATTGATCACTAAGACAGAAACCCTTTCCATCTTCCTTCTGGAAGAGGTTTTTGTAGTAGGATGTGGCTATGGCTAACGTGTCATCTATGTCTGAAGTAGGCCCTGATGGGCCCTCCAGAGCATGAATCAATGTTTTCCTCCTTCTCTAATTGGCAACAGCCATAAAATACTTAGTATTCCTGTCACCTTCTAATATATCCCTATCCCTGGATCTCTGTCTGGCCTCTGTTTCCTCCTTGAGCCAAATGGCCTGGAGCTCAAATATGATGCATTTCATCCTATCTGAGTCTAGCTCAGAGAGGGGTGTATTTTCAGAACTGACGTCCAGCCTATCATATTCTTCTGTCAGGGATTGCTTAAGCTTTCTAAGCTCAGCCCCTACATTTCTACTCCAGCCTTTACTAAATTTTCGAAACCTCCTAGCTTTCTCTTGCCAAATATCAATTGGGGTGGTACTCTTAACAGGGGCAGACCAGTTTTTGATAACCGATTCTTTAAAGTCTGTTTGGAGGAGCCACCATTTCTCAAATTTAAAACTAGGACTCCTAGGAACACAGTCAATCCCTGAATTCCAGAGGATGGGGGTGTGATCACTCCAGTTCTAGGCAGGGCTTGAGAGTTACTTAAAGGGAAAAGAGCATCTAGTTCTGTTGTACAGAAGACTGTCAATAGTAGACATGATCAGGTTCTCCTGGTTGTTAGCCCAAGTGAACTGTCTACCAAACATTCTAATTTCTAGCAAACTCCAAATTTCAATCCAGGCATTGAATTTATCACTCCAATTGTAATTAATTTTTCCATTGCTTTTATCTTTCTGATATCTAACTAGATTGAAGTCCCCTCCTATAAAAATAGGCAGGTGATCATCAATAAACAAGCTATGCAGTTCTGAAAGGAAATCATCCTTCCCTTCATCATAAGGAGACCCATAAACTGCAATAAACCTAAAGGAAATGCCCTTTTTCTTGAGTGTTAACACACAAGAAACAGAGAATTTGAGAGGGGTCTAGCTAATGACATAAAAAATATCTAGATCCACTCCCACCAGCACCCCACCAGAAGTGCCTTCAGCAGGTAGGTGATGCCAGTCATACTTTTTACCACGGCTAATAGCTTTTAGGAATGCATGAGTGAGATGCTCTTTTTTGGTCTCCTGAAAAGAGATAATGCTAGGGTTATGCTTGGAGAGAGTATCATTAATACAGGTCCTCTTGCCAGGGGCAGTAATCCCTCTAATATTCCAAAAAAGAGCATTCATTTATGCAGAGTTTTCCTAGGGTGCTTGCCCCGTCCATATTTGCTAATATGAGTCCAACCAACACTATAGTCATCTATAACAGTTGATATACCTTTTAAACCCTCAGGGGTAGTAGGTGTTCTAGGGGAATCTAGGACATCATTGCAGCATAACACTCCTTCAGAGTGTTCGCTAGCCACATTCACTGGTTGTGTGCCAATGGTTTTTATAGGTTTTAGATTTCCTACCTCATTAGCACTGGCAGCTTTGTTCAAAAGAAAAGTATCCTCATGTCCTACAGATATTTGAGAGGTTTTTTTGAGTTTCTAATTGGTTTTCAACATGTCGTGCAGACAGTGTCAGACCATCATCTATTTCTACACCAATTTTACTAGCTATAGCAATAAATTCAGGATCAGTGAAGTGTTCAAAAGAGGTTTTGACAATGGTACCTTTAATCTCTTTTTTGTTGGCTTCCAGATTCTGCACTTTCTTGTTGTTCATAGCAATTTCCAGCATAGTCCTATCTCCTATATCAACCCTGTTACTTTTCCTCAGGGCCAGAACCGGGCCTCATTGTTGTTTCGCAGGGACCATGTTGCTTAGGTGATC